CCACCACACATCCGCTCGCTCACTCCCTCCCACAGGGGGATAGGGGAGAGAATCAGAGGAAAAAGGTAAGAAAACTCATGGGTTGAGATACAAACAGTTTAATGATTGAAAAAGGGGTGGCCAGCAGGGAGAGGGAGGTGATTGTGCCCCTCTACTCGGCTCTTGTGAGCCCCATCTGGAGTACTGTGTCCAGGCCTGGGGCCCTCAGCACAGGAAGGACGTGGAGCTCTTGGAGCGGGTGCAGAGGAGGAGAGGGCTGGAGCACCTCTCCTATGAGGAAAGGTTGAGGGAACTGGGCTTGTTTAGCTTGGAGAAGAGAAGGCTCCGGGGAGACCTCATTGCAGCCTTCCAGTACTTGAAGGGAGCCTATAAACAGGAGGGGGAACGCCTGTTTGCAGGGGTTGATAGTGACAGGATGAGGGGGAATGGTTTTAGACTAAGAGAGGGGAGATTTAGGTTAGATATTAGGCGGAAATTTTTCACTGTGAGGGTGGTGAGGCAGTGGCCCAGGCTGCCCAGAGAAGCTGTGGATGCCCCATCCCTGGAGGCATTCAAGGCCAGGCTGGATGGGGCCCTGGGCAGCCTGCTCTAGGGGTTGGGAACCCTGCCCACAGCAGGGGGGTTGGAACTAGATGATCTTTAAGGTCCTTTTCAACCCAGGCCGTTCTATGATTCTATGAATAGCAATAGCCACAAATTTTGAAACAAAATATGCCTACTTACGCCACCTATTAAATACACATCTGCCACCAGGCTACAAGTAATAAAATCCCAGTCTCTCAAAATGAGCTTCACCAAACAATGTGCCGGTGTCCCTAAATTTTGGGCTTGTAATTTATGTAAAACTTAGATGAACAGTGACCATAATACACAAAGAGAATAATTTACCATTAGTCTAATTTATTTCAAGCATTAAGATAAACCTCAATGAACTGGAGAATATTTCACAACATATTAAAACATGACACTGCTAGGTGAAATCTGAGACTTCTTCAAAAGAACATAATATGAAAGTGTCAATCAGAATCTACTGACAAAAAACATTTAAAATATTCTGCTTGCTTTTTTCTTTGATTTCTATTTCAACAAACTCTCTCCTCTGATTTTCTAAAATGTGTTATTGAAAATCTCTGGTGTGTTACATAATTGTGTTACAAGTTGAGTTGCTTGCTCTTCTACACATATTTATTCAGCCAATTGATCATATCCTTTCTTCCTTCATCAGTAAATGGCTTATCCTGAGGATTGATATCTTCTCTTCTGCAATGTACAGAAACATGAGGTTGTCCAGGATAAATTTTAACTTCATAATCAACTTTACAATCTTTCTTTTCTACTCCAGCAGGGTGACCTGTAATACAGAGCATAGTAGTAGTTGTATTAATATAGCCAGGTCCCATGCTGCCAGTCCTCAGCTTATTCATAGTTCAACTCCCTAATTTATCATTTGTACTAGACACTAATAACCAAGCTCTATATAGGTAAAAACAAAAAGTAAAATTATATAAAGAAGAAACACCTTTGCAGTAAGGGTCTAGAAAATTTGTTAGAATATAACGGCAGGTCCAACAATCTACAAACATATGTATATAACAAAAGTATTTCCTACATGTGAAATACATGACAATGCTAAATACACTACAACTGAACAAAAAGCTTCTAACAGACACCTATGGATGCAATTTGGTGCATCCTACACAGTTCATGGGTTCCTAGGACCAACAGAAAACAAAGTCATACAGCAAAGGATAGCTCCCAGAGTAGAGTACTCCAAAACAGCAATAGGATTTTGATAAAACTTTGTCACCTGGATTACTAGCCATACTTTTATAAAAGAAAGAAACTTAAAAAAAAAATCTAGTGTTTATCCTTTGCCTAGGTTACATTAGCCCTTCTGTGTCTAGCTCCGTTTTTCTGCTCATTTTTTGACCTTCAGGCACTATTATGAGGCTGAGTTTTGATTCCCAGTTCAGGATGGAAATTTAAACATGCAGAAATGAATTAAGACTGAGGTTATTAGCATACTTGATGAAGGGGAATGAAGTCATCTTTTTCAGCAAAAATGAAAAATGTAGGGTTTAGGAGATTGGATATATCATCAGAATCCTTGATTAGTCCTAGAAATCAAGTTTAAATAACAGAGACTTGCAAGGAGATTAACTCAGCATTTTGGAACTGTCTGTCATGGTTAAAATACCCTTAAGCAGCTCGGTATAACTCTCTTTATATTTGTTTGTATGAGAAAAAAAGGTCTTACTCATGTTGAGTAAGCATAAACAGAATAACCTCAGGGTATAATTTGAATCATGCTTCTTCCAACTCATTGGTTTATCAAGTTTTAATGATATCCCAGGGCAATTTGATTTTGCCAAGTACAGGAGATAAACCGATAAACATTCAGTAGTGCAAAATAAAATGCAGGGTGTGACAATGTTCTATGACAACCAGGGCTCCCACTGAACAACTCCAAAGTCCTACAGAGGAGGTGACATTCCACCTTCATCATAACCCAGCAGGCTACAGTGCCTTGCTGCACGCAGAGACAACATTCAGTGGCTTTGCTCGCTACAGCTTCCCACCTACTAAGAAGCCAGGTTTCCTCTGCCAGTGGTGTACCATCACCGCAGGATTTGACAGGGACCATTCAGAGTGTTGATGATTGTAATTACAGCCAAACCTCCTAAAAGATTTCTTCACGACAAACAGGGAGAGGAGCCCCATCTTGTGGACATTTCCTAGAGTGAGGAGAGCTGTGGAGCTGTTAAACACTGTTTTTAATGCAGGACTGAAAAGCTAGCTATGTCAGTGATCTGCATCTAAACTCACCTAAACTAGAGTTATGTCTGGGCTGAGCAGCTTGGGGTTACGCGCAGAAAACACCTCCTTTCTTTCTCCCGAAGCAAACCATCCTTCCCTTTCTGCAGGTGTGAGGAATCTTGCCTCGATATGGCTTTTAAAGACCTAGAGGAAAGCTTACACACCGCCTGCAAACTCCTTACCTGTGCACTGAGGAGGGGCAGAGAGGAATGAAGTGGGATGAGGTCAGGGCATACATCACCACCAAGGTCGACCAACCAAGCCTGGGTACAATTTATCAGGGGCCTCAGAAGCCATGGTACCTGTGGCCACGCTGTGAGCAGCAGGAGAGCCTGGATGCCCAGTGTCACTGGAGACACCCTGTGCCAGCCCCAATGACCAGTACTGCCTGAAATCTGGTCTAGAGTCGCAAAGCACATCCAGGGAGGTACTTAAAGAAAAAAACACACACAGATATTTTTCTTTTATCCTTCTGTGTTGGTGCCGGAGGAAATTTATTTCAGCAGGTGGGTATGTGGAGCAGGATGCTTGGTTGCGAGCAGCAGTCCACTGCTGCCAACTTTGCAGGAGCATGGCACCCCAGCGAGAAGGCTGGCTACTGGAGACATTTTGTTTTCCATTTCAAGTTTCATCCTCTAACTATTGAACATCCTCCATCACCATGTCTCTAGGCATACGTCTATTGATACTGCTGCCCAAAAAGCGAAGAGAGAGGTGCTGAGTGGCCACTCAGATACTGTCTGTCAGACCAGAGAGCTGAGCAACACGCAGCTTGTACAGTGCCTCTGCCCTCATGACTTGTCTTCTCACAGCAGTATTGTTCATGCAGTCAGCTGGCATACCATGACTGTGTAGTTACACTGACAGGATAGCAATGTGTGAAACTGTCATCCCCAATACCAAAGGGAAACTAATATCCTTGCAGATAGCTAGCCTTGATTTATGGCTACGTTAACAAGGCAACAGTGTGAGAAACTGACAGATGTTGCAGAAGATAAAAAGGTACATGTGTCCCTTAGAAGATGTCTGAGCAAATACAAGTTGCCAAGTCATTACCAAAGCAATAAAATCAAAAAAAAAAAAAAAAAAAAAAAAAGTCAGCAGGTCAGCAAAACAGGAGCCAGTGTGGGAAGAGGGTGGTGGCACACTGGAACAGGTTGCCCAGGGAGGTCGTGGATGCCCCATCCCTGGAGGCATTCAAGGCCAGGCTGGATGTGGCTCTGAGCAGCCTGGTTTAGTGATTGGCGGCCCTGCATATGGCGGGGGGCTTGGAACTAGATGATCACTATGGTCCTTTTCAACCCAGGCCATTCTGTGATTCTATGATTCTATGAAGAGTAAAAAGGGATGTTTATTGTTGTTTATATGTTGTGTACTTGGGAACAGATGAGGATGATAAGGGGGAAGAACTTGAGAGAGGAGCAAGGGATATAATGTAAAGCAAACAATATAATCAGGACTGAGTGGTGGTACCTGTTTGTTAGCCCTGTGTCTGATCACCACAGTTTGGAACAGGAAAATAACCCCACTGTTTCTGCAGTGTTCATGCCTGGGTTACTTCCACCACCAGGAGGGACTGGTTATGCTTTTCCTTGATGTTGATGAAAGAATACTGGAAGTGCCCTTCTTAACATTGCCAGGGGAATACCTGGAGGTTGCCACCTAACAACATCATTCGTTCCTAACTCCTTAACATAGCCAAATGTTTCCTGCATGGGAAATTCTGCTCAGTACAGCAGTGTATCTGAGACAAATGGTTTATAGTTAATTTTTTTTAAAGGCTGCATGGAAAACCAGGGTATTTCCAGGTTAACACGTATGATCACCAATCATCGTACCAAAATACAGCCTGAATCTATTCAGGTAAAGCCAGGGTGAAGTCATACTCACTAGCATAGACAAATAGATAAACAGTATCATTATTGCTGGTGTCATAATGCAGAATAATGAAGCAAATATAAAGCAAGATAAATTCAAGCAACTTTTTAATTCCTAATCATCCTTTAGTCCAACTTTGATTTCACAATCTTGTGTAAATCTTGTAAAAATAATTAAGAACTATAAATTAAAATCTTCCTATTTTTGTTTGTAACAATTTTCAAAACCAGATATTTTTCCCTTGACTGTTTTCTTCTCTCAAATCAAACACTGATCTTGAAGCCTAGTGTTACTTTATGCTTTTGTCAAATAAACATTTTGATCCAATCAATCATATCCTTTCTAGCTTCTTCAATATAAGGTTTATCAGCAGGTTTCATATCTTCTGGCTTCAATTCTGCAAACCCATGAACTTGTCCAGGATAAACTTTAATTTTATATGCAGCTTTACAGTACTGTTTCAGCTTCTCCTCCAGTAAGGTGATCTGTAAAAGAAAGCATTTTCCCATTATGTTGTGTTTGTTTTGGTTGTTTTTTAACTTTGCCAAACTTGCTGGTTCTCATATCGCTACAGCTTTGTCTTTTCTCAACTGTCCCACTTGAAGCAGGTTCTGTTGCTCAGCAGATGAGAAAACTCCTCTTTGGAGTATGAGACTGAAACATTTTTTAAAACTATGGGTGAGTCTAAGAACCTTGACAGTTACTGCAAAGATGGTTTGGTAAATCTCATTGCTGTAAAGGAACAGGTGCATTTCTATTCAAAGTCATAGGCTTGTAACCCAATTTTAAGCTCTGATCTTGAGAGAACATATTTCCTAAACCTAAGTGACTCTCAGTCCAAAATATTTTGATAGGCTTAGAAACAGAGTTTAAGAAAACACAGGTTGGTTGGTGGTTTTTTTTTAGTTTACTGCATAACAAAAAGACACTGCTCCTGCGCAATCTTTTGATGATAAGTATACACATGCTTACACACAGAGTACTGATCATAGGATTATGTACCTGTATACACGTGTAGACACAATTTTGTGCTCATTTCCACTAAAAAGTCAGAAAATAAGGGAACGAACACTTATTTTGTTCCTGCAAGCTTAATTGTACCTATTTTGCAGCTTAGAGACAGTACTGTAATTTATTTCATGTTCACAATTTTTTTTTCCATAGAGACCTTTATCGCTCAATGCAGAAAACAATGTATTTGAGGAGATTTGGGTTTTTTGTAAACGTGGGAATTTTTCTCACACAATCTGCACAGGTAGGTCAGAGAGAAAGCTTCAGGAGAAAAAGGTACGGTTTCAAAATGTAACACATGATGGAAAAATGTGTTTATGAAAATTGTTCCCCTGGGAAAAAGACACTTTCACCATAAAAAGGGAACAGGGATTGAAGGATGTGTTTTCCTATGCAGAGGAGACACACATTTGAGGTACAGATAAACCTCCTGAATAACACAGTTAGAAGTAAATATTGATTGGCTTCTGCATTCCCAGAGCACACTGCCAGTTCCCCCATCAGACCCTACTCCTACACAACAAATTATTCTAAGGTGGTATGTTATCCTTGTCACTGAGGAGACAGAATTTATGCACAGAAGAGGGCACCAGTTTCCTACCCATGTATTTATCTAGCCTCTCAGATAAGCTTACAGTAAGGGTTATATCGGAATACAGATGGCAGCCAGGAGTCAAAACAGAGTCCACAAGTTGCCATTATCTTAGTTAAAATTCACACCCACTCTTCCAATACAGTTCATCTTGCCTTCTTGTACCAAAATCAATTAGTCATTGGTCTGCATCAGCAGAAACTTGAGTTACTAAGATGAAATTACTTTTTTCCATTCAAAGTTCAGCTTCAGTGGTTTTACTACCTGTTCTTTCATCCATAGCAGCAGTACCCAGGTTTTTGAGATGTTAGGCTCATATTAGATGGATCTCCCCGCCCAGTTTTACACTCTGCTTGTCCAGCCACTCAGACCAATGACTGGTCTTTACTGCATTGCTCACCTCAAAAAAGAAGCTTTGGATAACCTAAGCGAGATATGGGGGAAGTTGAAATATAAACAAAACAATGCAGCCTGTCTGATTTGTCATATCTGAGAATGGTTTCTAACAAGCTAGGGATTCTATGTGGGATGAAAGAACTATGGGAAAAGAAAAAGCATTTCCAGTACAACAGCTTACCTGATCATGAGAAATAGTGTGGTCTTTCTCACCAAAAATGAAAAACGTGGGATTTAGTAAATTGTACCTTTCTTCTGAGTCCCTAATTATTCCTATAATGATTTTTAGAAACAGTCTGTTAGTGAGGTTAATGTTCCTGCAAGATAAATGGCAAATTAAAAGACAAAATTTCTATTTAGCTTCACACATTATGTACATTTTTTAGATCAGGACAGTTTCTATTTGGCTGGAGAAAAATGCATTTGGAAAATACATTTCTCCACTCTCCAAGCACTAAAAAAAAAAAAAAAAATATTAGAAAATTACTGTGTGAAAGGAAGCAATTTTTTTCTGGTTTACACATTTGTAAATTTTTATACCAATATAGCATATTGCTGAAATAGCCATCATTAAAATCTGCAACTCACCTTTGAGTTGGGTATTTTTAGAAATTGTTACAAAGCAATAACTAGACTTCCAAACTATGCACAGTCATGTGAGCCCATGTAAGTTTTCATGTGTTCTACACTACCATAGAGGGACACCCCAGCAGTTAATTGAGGATTTTTCAGCATCAGGTGATGTACTGCCATTCCACCCCAGGAAAACCCAACGATACCAATCTTCTTTGCATCGCATTGTTCCTTTAGATACTTCAAGACAACATCAGCTTCCCTAAGACATATAAACAAAAGTAAACTAAGGAATCTGTTGCAGAATCAATACTTGACGATTTAAGAAGTAAATTAAAAGAGATACATGACTTTTTATGCATCTGCACACCCAATCATTTAAAACAGAGAATGCTTTAAAAAAAAAACCATTTCAGTTCAGAGCAGTGGCTTCTCTCAAATGGGAGTTGACATCTCTGGTACTAGTTTAGGGAAGTACAGATGTAAGTACTTAAATACTTACCTGAATTGTGACCTGCTCTTTTGTTTTCAAAAGAAGCATATTTTTAATTGAATCACTTTGTCTAGGACAGGACAACTAAAGACATGACATATCTGCAAGTAAAACAACATCTTGCATTACGGATTGTAGGAATAGATATGCTTCACTGTGCTATCTCTACAGCGTCCACCTATTTAGATAAGGACTTGGCATGTCATTCCTGTTGCATCAGTGAATTTAAAATATCCTACCAAGCCCACATGCAGTAATACTATACTAAAGTAGCAATTACTCAAAATTAAACTGACAGTAAGTATAATGGTTTAAAAAAACTGGTATTGCACGAGGTATAATGCAAAAAATATGCAAATAGATTTTAATGTAGGCTGGAGAAGGTAAATTATTTCTTTTTTAATTGCTAACTTCTTAGGTCTCAATAGTTTTATCTTTTTTATTATCTACGGAGTTTTAAATGAATTGTAAATGCAGACTGCATATACTAATAACTATATTTTCAAATATTATGCACATTAGTATGGTCATCACAGGTTTGGTTAGGCTGACAAAAAAAGCAGTACGAGAGTGACCTGATCAGGAAATGGTGGCCTAGGCCTGTAGCATGTGTGTTGTGAATGGATGAGCTCTCTCAGATTCGATTTGTTTGGAAGGGTACTAAGTCATGGGTGTGTTGCATTCTTTGTGCTCTGGAAGAGCAACAGGTCTGACCTTGAGGGCAGCTACAAGTGAACTCTCAAAAGACAGCACAGGCATGTCCTTGAGGTCTTAATTGTTTAAGACAGTGCCCACATATCTGCTCACTCTTTGGAGGAGGATTTTTTACAGGTGTTAGTCATTTGTCTTTTCAAAAAAAAAATCAGTCACAGCTTCTGCAACTATATGGTCAGAAGTTTTGCTGAGAGGTGTTGGAGTTAGGCTGCGACCACTGGGACCTCTTGAAAGGGTCAGAAGAACACTTGTGGCTTACAACATGACAGCTGAGTAACAAGGTGTCACTGCCTCACTACCATCTTCTGAAGTTTTAGGTTGTGGTGAGAAATGCTGAAGAAACAATAATGCCTCGCAAAATTCAGGGAAGCCTTGTTACAGACACTGCTAGGCTTTGCAGAGAGTGGGCACTCTATTTCAGATTGAGAAAAACAGTATAATTGATCAGATGTATCTTAGGTTGCGGGCAGTCTTGCAAATTTTGATCTAGTGCTGCTCAGGAGAATATTATCTGCACCTATCATTATCTACAAGGCAGAAAGCTAGATGGACAAGTGACAACTGGCAGATCATGCGAGCACTTGCAGAAGAGTTTTCCTCCTTATCTTGAGGAACTGGAGGCAGAGTCAGCACTTGTGGCTGAGAGTGCTGGTTATCTCATAGCCTGTGAAATACTGACTATGAGCCTGTGTGGCTAGTATGACGCAGTTAGAAAAGGGCCCAGGAAAACAAGATGGGGACAATAAGTAGAGTGATGGACAGAGCAGATGTTTCTTTCCAAATCCCAGCCAAGACAGTGCCCAGAACCACAGAAGAACCACCCAGAATAAGCAGCTGTCCATGTGCAGGCATCTTGCCCTGCTGCAAGGTGCCACGTTTAACATTTCATACAAATTCCCCTCATTTTGCTCAATAGTCTTTAAAGTTCAAGTACAAATATGCATCTTACTTGTCTACTTTCATAGGATCATGATCTTTCAGCCAGTCAGCAAAGTCAGCCCAGTGATCAGTAGTTTTCCAGGGGTCTGTCCCCTTGAAGAAGTCTGGGCAGATGGTTCTGTGAGACATGGAATCAAGTCAACTTTCACATACAGGTGGGGAGAAATCTGCAGATTTCTAAATGTCTCCTAAGATCTTTTCTACTCTGGAGGACACATCTATATGGTTACTATGTGAATCATATTCTACTCATCCTGTTCTGGCAATCAGCAGAGCTAAAAGTATATGTCTTTCTATAGAAAAAAAAAAACCACAAATAAACTCTCATTATTTCCTTAGACATACTTAATACAAAAGTAAAGGGATTAAGCAACCCTCCTGATTCTGTATAAACACATATATATCCCTTTGCTAGTAAAAGATAAAGCAGCTGTTCAAAAGCTTTTGTTCTGAAAACCTTATACAACTTAAATATAGATATCAACGTTTATCTTTTAATCACCCACACTGCCACATAAGCACAAACACTGGCACTTCATGATTCTCGTTGTGGCTTTGTGCTCAGGTAGCCATTTTTTATGGGTCAGGTTTAGTAGCTTTGGTGGCCTCGTGGGAACATTTTGTCCCTTTGCATTTCTATTTGCTCGGACTGAGATGGTATGGTTGCCCTATGTGTATGGGAAACATCAGCTGCCATGCTTAGCCTTGGCCAGGTGATCTATCCATGAATGTAAGAGGAAGACAGGATAGACAGTTGCTTACATGTATCCATGACCTGCAATCAAATCGACTATGTATCTAATGTCTGGGAACATCCATCCAAATATATCATGAATCACAATCACAGCTTTGTCTGTGAAAAAAGATGGTCTACAAACATATGCCTTGATGTGCTCAATTTGTACTTCATGTCCAAGGCAGCCGTAGGGAGATCTTTTTCCAGTATCATATAGGAAAGGGTCAGCCATTTGGAAACCTGGACAAAACAAAACAAAACAAAACAAAAAAAAAAAAAAAAGAGCAATAGAGTCAAAATTTGTTAACACAAATTAGTAAGGGCAAATAAAGGCAAATAAGATCTATAGAAAGTAGTTCCATAACTTCCATAAATAACATTGACATCCTTGTCTGAAAGGAGAAAGTAGAAAAGAGCAAAAGCCATGTTCCATGCAAAATGGCTCTTAGTCTGTTATATGTTACTAAGCTGAGAATGAAGAGAAATACCAAAAGCAAAGTTATAAAATTATAAACAACCTGCACATGTAGGTCCTGACTCTCATGTCACATTTGTTTGTTCCCATGCCACCCTGTCAGCACCAGTGTGAGGCACTACAGCTTCAGATGTCACTCTCTCCCCGGGCATGGGCCATCGTGTGTCTTCATGGGGAGTCCCATGCTGGTTTCTCTGAATTATGTGATGTGTAAGGATCACAGCACTCAACTGCTACAGAAAAGTCCAGCTTTCAGTGCTTTGCTCAGTGCTGGCACCTGCTAGCTAACCTGTGCTTTTGGTAGCAGCCTCACAGCTGTTCTGGGAGCCAATGTATCAGGTACAGTTGGTGAAAGACTGAGGTATAGATTTGTAAATTAGATTCCAATGCCTTGGGCCCACATGCCCTTGACAGGGATTGCAAGAAAACAAGCAGATATGCAAATCTCATTCAAAATATTTGAGAGATTTGGGTTTGCCCCTTCTCCAAAATAGAAATTACAGACAATGAGCCAGTAGCTGTGCTAGAAAGATTAAAGGCAAAAGTTGTTCTGACTCGCTGTGTCAGAAGCTTGGAATGGACTCTAGGCAAAAAGTAGAATCTGATCCTGTAATTAAAAGTAGTGCTATAATGCATCCACACAAGGTATCCAATTAAGTCTGCAGGGGCACTGTTAATAGTAGCATTTCCTAGACATGTATTGACTTTGAAACTGTCCTTGGGGATACAGTATGTGCACCCGCATATGCATTATGACTGTCTTGCTTCATCATTTTTATATCAGCCTATTACTTCTGCTTACGTTGTAACACGTACTTCAGAGAACTATCTAGACTTCATGGAAGTGTGGCAAATTCTGGCAAAAATGTACACCTTCCTGAGGTCTCCGTTAACCAGAGCAGTGGAGAGCTAGGTTTCACTGAGTAATGGGAAATTTTGCCTAGGCAATATGGACACATTTGGAACCATGGTGCAGGCAGGCTGAAGAACAGAGTTGATGCTGCAGAGACTCACTGCTTCCTTATGCCTTACACAACGCTTCCCAGCTTGCGTGATTAACACAGGCTTAATAACAACATCCAAATTTTATGTGCATTTAGACTGCCTTATACCCAAGATAATCAGGCTTCCCAATGTATAGTGCAGAGGAACTGTTCTTCCTCATCCTCTCCCATCCCTGGGGCTGCTGTCACCAGGTCTGGCAGGGCCAGCACTGAGTTTGAGCAAGTACGCTTGATGACAACCGTAACCCCCGGCTGATAGAGTGTAGTGTAGAGATACAGGAACTGGGAGAATGGGGCTTTACTTTTTGAATCAAGCTGCTTCAGAAATAGCCATGAGGTGGATGATCTCACATCGTGTGTAATCCCCTGTCCTGGTAACTGAGAGCTGATTACATTTATTAATTGATCTCCCACCTTTCTCAACACCTTAATGTCAGGGTTGGTGCTAGGAAGCATAAAGTAGCCTGATCTTCAGGACTAAAACCCCCATTGTTTTGGCACCATATGAAACTGAAATTTGGAACATACACAGGACAGTATCTCCTAGTTTAAGCCCCCCACAACAGGCCTGAAAATGTTGAGATGTCTGTTCCTGCAAAAGTGCTTCCTACCTTTTTTTTTTTTTTCCACCTAAAGTGAATGATCTTGTTGAAATACAAGAAACTGCTTGGAGAATTCACAGGCACTCCCACCACTAGCTTCTGAAATGGCAGCCGCAATCTTACTCCACTGAGGTCTTTTGTTCAGAAGGGCAAAACCTATTGTGTCCCCTTCAAGGAAGCAGCATTCAGGAGGCATTAAGCTTTGCGATAGTTGTGAAACAGCCTACTGCCTATTTGTTGGTTGCTTCCCATAAATCATTTCTTTGGCTTATCTTGATTGATGCCTAGCCAGATGGCTCTTCTCCAGGCACCAGGCTGTGGAAAACGTTAATAAACAGTCAGCCACACCTGAACTGCTTAGAAGTCTTTGATGGGATCCTGTTCAGTCAGAAGCTTTATTTGTTTTTGCTTGCTTTGTCCCACACAACATGGTGTGGCGAAACACCTAGCTGGATATTTCCTACCTGTCCTGTCTCACCTCATTCCCTCTTCCCACCAATTTCAGCCATTACACTCTTCCTTTTCCTGCTTTCCCCATGGCATGGTTCCAAGCAAGCAGCATCTCACCTTTATGCCCCGCTCCTCATCACTGAGCTCCAGCACAGAGGAGATGCGAGGCCTGGTGGGAAGCTGGGTAAAGGGGAAAAACTGACAGCTGCTAACAGGGAAAAAAGAGTAATATCCATGAGTCTGCTCTCATCCTTCTGCTCCTTAAGAGAAGGCCTTCTTATAGCTTCTTCTTCTCACCAGTGGTCCTGCTCTTCTCTGGGTGTCTCGACACCATTCAGCTTTCGTACAAGTAACATAAAAACTGAGGAGAGTTATTTACTATTACCACAAGGCAAACGTGGGCTCCCTCGGGTAGCAGACAGACCCAAACTACTACATTTTCAGGGAGCAACAAATCACATGGTTAAATCCTGATGAGTCTTAGTTTTCAACAGGAGAAAACAAATTCCTACTTGGAAGATGAGGCTACAACTCTTTAAAAAACAATCAGGTAATCCAGAGGCAAAGATAGTCCTGAGGATAATCCCCACTTCTCAGAAAGTGAGTATGAGCATGTGATTTCAAATTGCTGTACTGTTTGGCAGGACCAGGGACTAGTGATGCCAAGATGTGACATCTCTGCCCTTTTAATGGATCCAGTGATAGCATTTTAAACTCCAGCAGTAATTTATTTCAGTGGCAAGTGCTCCAATGGACCAAACAAGGAAAAGAATGGGAATTCATTACCATAAGGGCAAAATAAATTATTATGGTCCTTTAATGTGAGCTTGCTACTGATGAACATTAACTGAACAGGTTGCTCAGAGAAGCTGTGTATGCTCCATCTCTGGAGGTGTTCAAGACCAGGTTGAATGAGGCTTTGAGGAATCTGATCTAGTGGAAGGTATCCATGCCTGTGGCAGGGGGATTGGAACTAGATGATCCTTAAGCCCCTTCCAACCAACATCATTCTATGATGAGTCTATGTACATAAAATTGTTACCAGTGTCCTCAGAACTATTGCTGTGCCACATCTCGCAGCAAGGACTCAAAATGAAATCCAGTCTTTCCCAAAGTTGATGCCCTTTATCTTCACCTTATCTGCTCCCTAATACTTGTCCTTGTGCATTTTTTTACTGAAACAAACAAAAAAAAGTCTCCCTTTAAAGGAGTGGATTTTGCCGAATATTCCGTGCCTTTTCAAAGGCCTATATCTAATTGCTTAGCAATTTCAGATTTCTCCCTTTCAAAACAATTAAAAGTAGTTAGCTTTTTTCTGCTGCCAACTCGGTCTTTGTGGACCAGTGTGCCATCACATACCTGCAGTACAGGATCCTGTTTTAGCCCAGCTCACTGCTTCTGCTCAGAGATGTAGCAGCTAGTTTTCTCTAAAAGCAAGAAGAAGAAAAACAGTTCTGCTGACAGTTTTGCTCCTGCTGCTGCCCATCCAGCTTCCAGGTACTCTTCAACTCTTCTGCAGAGTTTGAAATTGGGAAGTGAGGAGGAGAGGCTTAGCATAGGAGTCATTCAGATGGAAAGGGTGGGGACAGATCATCCAGAGAGGCAGGGTGTAATAGGCTTCACATCAATTGCCTTTTACTCCGCCTTTATTATTATTTAAGGAGTTTAGAAAGCAAGATCCACACAAACACTATATTGCAGTTATTTATCTCTCTAAATATGTGTGATTCCTAACAAAGTAGTATTAAAAAGTTGAAACAAGATTTCTGAGTGTTTTTTTCAACATACTTCAGTTTTCTGTGAAAATTTCCCTTCCAGACCTGTACAACACAAAGCAAATGATGTGTGTGGTGAAGTCACACTGCAGAATCTTTGGACCTCAGCATTCATAGTTTATAGAGACATTTAGCATCAGTGGTGCATTTGCTGATGCATTGTTAAATTCAGAGATGCATTTTCTTGTAATATATTCATGCACTTTTACTGTCCATAATAAATGCCTTTAATGGAGTTTGTGCAGAATTAAGATTAATCTGTCCTGACAAATTTGCAGCAAAAACAAATTATGGAAGTCTCCCTAGCACATAGATTAAACGTATTACAGCCACATCCAAAAGTATTCCCAACAAGTACAAAAGTGTTACAGGTTATTTTTTATTAGACTTGCTTTCAACAAGCTAGAAATTTTTGAATCTGAACTGATTATTATTGATGGTGACATGTTGAAATTTTCCATTCCTATCTCCATACTAGCCTTGTATGCAAGGAATATTAGCTTAGCCCTCAGGCTGATGCCTACTATAGCTTTAATTTTCTCTGTGTGTGCACATGGTTTGTGTGTGTGTGCATGTTGGACGGGGAGGAATGAGAGAGACAAAAGAGCTCAAACAAAATGACAATGTCATATCAAGTCAAAGATCAATAAAGAAATTTTGATCCTAAGTGTATAAGACAAGTCCCACAGTCACTCTGTAGATCCTCAGCAGTAATCTGTGTGGTAGTGACCCCTCTGTAATCTGAGGACTACGTAAAACAGCTGATGGTTGGATTCAGTTCACCAAACTTCAGACATTTACATTGAGGATGTCTACCTGTCAGCAAAGTGTCTATGTTCCCACAGCTGTCATCAAGATTTACGGTATGATTCACACTCTATGGGTGTCATCTTTAGAGTGACATGGATAGTCCCCTAGATGCCACC